GGGCCCCCGTGAACCGTGTGAAGGCCCCTGCCGCTCTGCGCTTGGCCCAGCCGCCCTGCTCGGAGGAACTCTGCCAGCGGTGGGGGAGCGGGGAGGAAGGGGGCCTCCCCAGGGCACAGGGCGACAGCCCTTGGCCGCAGCTTTGCAGTGGCTCCGGAGAGCTTTGGCAACGGCAGGAAGGGAAAGCGGGGTGGGGGGGCATGGAAGGGGTTGCAGGGGTGGCTTTGCTGCTCGTCCTCCCGCTTTTGTCATGACAAGGGGGATGTGTCGCAAGGGGAAGAGGATGAAGCTGGCCCCGTGAGCACGGAGAGGTGCCCAAGGGGTGTTGGCAGAGTTTGGGTGACCAGGTAAGGCAGGGTGTACATCAGGCACCCTGTATGCACCGCACAGCCAGCTGGCATAGCCACAGGCTGCCTCGCAGCGCAGCTGGTGGTGAGCAAGGCAAGGTGGGGGGGGGAAAAACCACCCCAGCTGAGACAGAGAGCAAGATACAGAGCGTGGGCCCTTCGCTCGGGCTCAGCAGCAGCGTGTGCTTGTCCTGCCTTGTTACGTGTTTGCTGTAATAATATTTCCCCTTTAAGGCTGGGCTGAAGTTATTTATACTTGTGGGGTGGTGACAGGAACACAGAGTGGAGCAGGAGCCCTGAACCGCGCTTACCTGATCTGCGGCAGAGGGGCGGACAGAGGAGGAAGGAAGTTCAGAAAAAGAGAGGGAGCAAGAGAAGAGAGCCCAAGGGAGGGGAAGAGAAAGCAGGCAGGGCATCCCTGGGGAGGGACAAGGGAGGGGACCAGCCAGAGAAACAGAAAAAGGGGGAACGAGGGAAGGAGGAAGGAGTAAGAAGGGAGACGTCCTCAGGGAAAAGCAAGGGGCAGAGTGGCTCTGGGGAGCCGAGGGGCCACCAGCATCCAATGCCAAGCGTCACCGGCAGGTGCTGAGCGGGCACAGGCAAGTGGAGCAGCTCTCGTGGTCTCCTCCCGGCTCTCAAGATGATGAGTTTAATCGGATGCGGCAGCAGCTGTCCCATCCCAACATCACCAGCCGGTAAGAACTTCTCTGCTACCTGTGCCGGAGGTCCAGTGAGGGAGCAGGATGGGGGTCCTGGAGGGCTTCTGCTGGGGCTGGACTGACCTCCCAGGGCCCGTGGTCAGGGAAAAGAGGAAAGGGGGGAACGACCCTGGGTTTAGAGCATCTTCAGTGTAAACTGAGGGGCTGTGGCTCCCTGGCTCCCCAGCACTCATGGGGCAGCGGGAAGGCTGCACTGGTGCTGCTCAGCAGGGACGTGAACCCGAAGCCCAGGTACCGCTCCCAGGGTCCACAGACCCTGCATCCACCTGGAAAAGGGTCTTTCCCGAGTTAGCTTCCCTAGGACATGAGGGAAATGTGGAGGGACCTTCCAGCCACATGCCCTTGGCTGTGTGGTGACTAGGAGGGTGTTAGGAGCTGGGACCTTCTCCCCGCTGAGCCCAGGGTGCCCCACGGGAGCCAGGTGCCCTGCATAGCTCTAGCCAGCCCGGCAGCACAGGTGTCCCAGGATGCTCTTCAAAGAGAGGACTGGGGATCCTCAGAGCACCCATGGAGGACTTACAGCTTCACACAAATCCCTCCGGCCCCATCCTACCTCCACCGCTTCCTTATTTTTCTCTTTGGCTTTCCAAAACTCTCCCCTTGCAAAACCCAGAACTGAAATTACAGGGCATAGCTCTAGCCAGCCCGGCAGCACAGGTGTCCCAGGATGCTCTTCAAAGAGAGGACTGGGGATCCTCAGAGCACCCATGGAGGACTTACAGCTTCACACAAATCCCTCCGGCCCCATCCTACCTCCACCGCTTCCTTATTTTTCTCTTTGGCTTTCCAAAACTCTCCCCTTGCAAAACCCAGAACTGAAATTACAGGGCTGGGCCCTCCCTTCCCAGCCCCCTCACTCTTCCCTACAGCCACCTCCGCAGGTTCCCCAGCACTGGGAGCCTGAGCAGGACCAACCGTGTCCCCTGGACCACTGAGGTCCTTCAGCCAGCCCAGCAGACTGGCCACAGGGAAGCAGCTCCTACATTCTGGTGGCCTCTTGCTTTTCTTGCATTCCCCAGAGGACAGCATGATTCCCTTTCCCATCCCTCCTCCCTCAAGATGTCTCATCTCCATGTTAGATGCTCCTCCCTTTTGTTTCATGCCAAGCAGGCAGGTCTCAAGCAGCTCGTGCAGCCCAAGAGCAAGCTCTTCACACGCTGCAGAGCCTCTCCTCCATGGGCCATGATCTCACGTGATTTTGCTTGCCTTCAACTAAGCCTCCTCCATTTCCTGCAGCTCCATGGCCTTGTCCCATGTCAGCTCTGGCAGGCAGTGAAAAGAGGGAAACATGAACTGGGGAAAAAGCAGCAGCAGAGAGAAAGCAAATAGGGCTCCCAGGGTGTAGCAATGGCAGCGGGACATGACGTGAGGTTTCCTCTGTGGGAGGCATCAGGGAGGTTTGGTGGTGATGGCAGCTGGTGGGTTTTCAATTTGGTTTTGAGCAGAATTTGCTGCAAACCAGAAGTTTCCTTTGCCAGAGTTGCTCCTAATACCTACTGCAAAACCGAGCAGAAAGCTGGTTTTGTGTAGGCTTTTCTGGAGGGGCTCAGTCCCCAGCTTGACCACAAAGATATCCTTGCTGTGGTACCAGTGGTCCCACAGCCAGTGGCTACCCTGACCTGCAGAGACATGGGCTGGGCTACACCACCACTGCCCTGGATTTGCCTTCAGGGGAGAGGCAGGCGGTCATGGGTAGAAGGTTTCACCAGCAAACAACCCACCCCTGCTGTGACCCCTCTAGGCATCCTGTTTCCAAAACACAGGCCACATCTGGATGTTTTGACTTTGGTGCTCTGAACTAGAAGCCCTGTCTGATGGGGTGTTCACCAGCCAGCAAGGTTGGCTGCCTTGCCCTGCTCCTGCTGTTCTCATGCCCGCAGGCTCATTCTACCCATAGCCTTGTCTACGAAGGTCCAGGCCATAGCCAGTGTCTCCTGCTGCCTAGAGCCCAAAGAGAGGCAGGTGGGATGCATAAGCACCTGCCTTCCCAAGGAGGCTGAGTGGAGGTCACCCCCATCTGCTGATGGCTCTTTCTCCTTCCTCCGCAGAGCCCAAGAAGCAACCGAGCTCCTGCCAGAAGATTTGCTGCAGGTGAGGCACGGGCTGGGCTAGCAGGCATGTGCCTGCTTGTGCCTGGGCATGGAAACCTGCCCCGTTCCTGCCTGTGATTTGCCCTGCCAGCACGTCCAAGTCACAGGGCTGGGATCTGCCTGAGTGCTGGAGGGTGACTCCAGGACCACGGCGTTAAGGGAATGGCAGGGTCCTGCCATGGGAAAGGGCTTCCCCAGCTGCTCACTGAGGGACAAATACTGACCACGAGCTGTGCTCCCTTTTCCCTGGACTGGGGATGCTCCAGGCTGTGGCAGGATGCTGGGCAGGCCACCCGCACTCAGAGCTGAGTGGTGGGGAGATGGCCTCAGGTTGCCCATGGTTGGCAAGAAGGCTTCCCCAGTCTCACCTCTCTGCCCCAGATCGAGCAGAGGATCGAGCCAGCCAAGCGAGCAGCTCACAGCGTGTCCAAGAGGCTCCAAGCCTGCCTACAGGGACAATGCGGCTCTGAAATGGACAAGCGAGTGGTGAGTAGAGTCCTCCCACCACAGCCTGCACTCGTCCCAGCTCTGTCCCCTGCCAGCAAAGGGGACACCAGGCCCCTGCTTTGCAGGCTTTGCCAAAGGGTGGCCCAAAGCCCAGCCCAGGTCCCATCTCCAGCAGTGGCCACCAGCAGTTGCCTGGGTAAAGCACAGCAGGACAGCCATCTCAACCATCACTGTCTTGAGGTCTTCTGGGACAGAGGCAGCACTTTTGCATTGAATAGCCATCCAAATCCCTGTTGTCCCCGTCCCTTCCTGGACCCTGTGAACCTCTGGCACTCATGGTGGCCTGTGGTGAGAAGCACCACAGCAAGGCTGGGCACAGCACTGCCACCACTTCCTCCACCTTGGTTTGAACCTGTCACCCTCCTCCTGGCTGGTGCTCACCAGCCCTTGTCTAGGAAGCAAACAGTGGATTCCCCTACACTTTCCTTAGCCCCTCCATGATTTCGTGGGCTCCTCTCTTCTTGGCAGCCTGACAAGCCCCAGCTTGGCTTAATTATTCTTGGTGGTTAAACCGCTACATACATTTTGAAGCTGTGGCAGGCCTGGGCTTGGTGATGGCCTCTGTCAGTGCCACGGTCTACCACGGGGGACTATTTTAGAGAAGACTGGAGGTTTTCTAACCAACTATGGAGCCTCAGTGCCTTGTTTAGCTAACTGGATCCTGGCTTTGGCTGAAGGAACATCCAAAGAGCCCTTCCTCAGGCCCCAGGACCAACCGGGCTATGTGGGCCAGGGGAGGACGTAGGGACCCAGCGCAGAGTTTCGCCACTTGCTCCCATGCCATGTGGTATGCTTCACGGGGAGGGAGCTGCCACACACCAGCTCACCATCCCATTCCTGAATCCTTGGCTTTGTGCAGAAGAAGCTGCCCTTGATGGCTCTGTCCACGACGATGGCTGAGAGCTTCAAGGAACTGGACACAGAGTCGAGCCTTGGGTAAGTGCCAGTGGGAGAAAGTGCCAGGGGTGACCCCAAATGATGCCAGACCCTGGCAAAGCCACTGTTTTGGCTCAGGGCCTCCCACGGCCAAGCCAGGCTGGTGTGGGAGAGGGCACAGCCAGCACCTTCAGCCTCCAACCACAGAGAGGACTGGAGGCTTGCTCAGAGTCCCACATGGGTACAGGTATGGCAGGGGGTGTTGGCTCAGAAAGTGGCATAGCTCCAGCCCACAGTCATTTCATCTCTGTCCCCATGCAGGAAAGCCCTGGAGATGGGCTGCTGCATACAGAGCTCGTTGGCCAAAATCCTGGCTGAGTTCGAGATTGCCTTGGAGCATGACGTCCTGCAGCCGCTCAACAAGCTCAGCGAGGTAGCCCTGGCCACCCTCCCGGCTCTGCTCTCCCATCCCACCTCCCCTTCCCCGTTGCCAAGCTTCGTCCACTCACGCTGGCCCCCCTCTCCCCCAGGAGGAGCTTCCCATCATCCTGAAGCGCAAGAAGACCCTCCAGAAGTTGATTTCTGACTGGAACACAATCAAGAGCCGGTATGGCCCACACTGTGGCCGGGGGGGGTGGGGGCAGAACATATGGGGCACAGCCCCCAGCCAGGTTGGGGGAGAAAGGAAGATGTCTGCCCTGGGGAGTGAATTTCCAAGGCCTGGGGGTGAAGTTGAAGAGGCAACAGCTCTTTGGGAGCACCCAGCCAGCCCCTCTCTGCAGGTGCCTCCTGCTCTGGGCTGAGCTGCTGGCTCCATGGCACAGGAGAGAAGGGCAGCTCCATTGCCAAAGACACTAAAGGTGCCCAACACCGCTCGGTGCCAGTGAGCTCACTCCAACTCTTGTGGGGTAGCCCGTGCAGCATCGAGTTTCTCTGGGAGAGCAGGGCAGCCATGGGTCACTGATGGCTCGTTTCCACACTGTCCTCCCTTTGGCTGGAGGGAGGAGAGGAGGGGACATTTCAGGAACGGGGTTTGGGAAGGGTCCTGCAGACCCCGGGTGTTTCAGTCAGCCTTGCTGAGTGCCCCCCGACTTGATCAGGTTGCACCCCTTGGTGCGGCAGCATCTTCTTCTGGGTGAGGGAAGTGAGAGGTGCTGGCCTAGGAAAACCACCGCAGGGCAGTACCAGGACTTGCTGTCCCCCTCTGGTCCCCATACCACTTCTGCACACCCATCCCACTCCGTGTCCCTGGCACTGAGGCTCTTTGTGTGCCTCTTCTCTCCCACCCCAAAGGTTGAACCAGGCTGCCAAGAGCTCCAGTAACAGTGTTGGCACTGGCGCTGTCCCAGGGGCATCTTCTGCTGCCAACAAACTGGAGATCTTGAAGGAAGAGGAGGAGGAGGTGAAGAGGAAGGTGGAGCAGTGCAAGGTAAGAACATCACTCGCTCTCCCATGCGGGGCAGCTCCAGGCCTGCAGACCTGCTCCCCTCCACTGGCTCCAACCGAGGTGATCCCACGCTGAGACAGATGCAGCCACTCGGCACGTGCTGCCCTCCACAAGCCAACCAGTCCCTCAAGGAGCAGAAATAGGGAGATGCCCCAAGTCTAGCAAAGAAGAGTAAAGGATTCAAAGCACAATCTGCCACAGAGAGGAGGCTCCAGGGGCTAGAGCAGGGAGCTTACGGAGTCCCCTTGGGCTGGGAGGCAGCCGAGCTGGGGTCTGTGCTGAGTGGCAGGGGACTTTCACATTAACTTTCTTCACTTTGACCCTGTTTCTCTGAAAAGCCCAGTGCCTTGTCTGGCAGAGCCCATGGGCTCATCAGAGCTGGAGGTGCAGGGACCTCTTTTACCTGAGTCACTTGTACTGGGACCCTGATCATAGGGCAGGTTGCTGCCACTACCTGAATGCAAGTGATGGGGGTGAGGAGGGATCCCACCACGGTCCCAGCCTGCCTCCCCACTGCACCCTGGAGACCCTGTCTAGGCGACTCCCGGCCCAGACAGGCGGCTTCATGAAAGCATCCCTTCTTCCTTGGGTGACAGGGAGGAGGTGGAAGGTTGCTTTTCTCTGTGTCTCGCTTCCCAGGATGAGTACATGGCTGACCTCTACCACTTCTCAACCAAAGAGGACAGCTATGCCAGCTACTTCATCAGAGTAAGTCCTTCTGTGTGTGAACACCTGGGGTATGTCTGAGCCTTGTCCCCATCCACATTGAGCCCTCCAGCCAGGGCAGGGGACAGCCCCAGGCACCAGCAGATGCCAAAAGCTGGCCTTGCTCCGTGCACTGTGGTTAATGCCACCACTAGCACCAACTGCAAAGCAAGTGGCTTGTCCTGATGACCTCCCCTCTCCAATCTGCCCGCTACCCCTCACAATAGCCACAGTCCCATGGATCCTATGGGGTTTGCCTTGCAGCTCCCCCTTCACCCTGTCTCCATGTGGGTGCAATGTCCTGGGCATGGGGGCTCTCCAAGAGAAGCCTGGTGTCAAACTGAGAGCTGTTTGCCTGTCCTCTGTCTGGCAGCTGCTGGAAATCCAAGCCCAGTACCACCGGCAGTCCCTGGGATCTCTGGACTCGGCTCTGGCGGAGCTGAAGGAAAGCCACAGCCAGAGAGGTACCCGCTGGCTCTCCATGCAGCCTGGGCAGGGCACCAGCCAAGCCCGGGCGATGCGAGTGTGGCCGGTGAAGCTGGGAAAGGCAGGTTTTCCCTCCCTGCGCCTGCTGCTGCCTCTCACGTCAGG